CCTCTGACATAGTTTTCCAAAAAACTTAAGCTTGTCAATGGACCAGTACAAAACCTATTTTGATTCCAAAAGTCAGAGGAGAAGTTTTAAAGTAGGAGATGAAGTTCTGGTAAATTTTGCCTATCAAGTCAAATAAAATTATTAGTAGCAAGGAAAGGTCCATATAAAGTATTACAAATTTGTGGGAAAGTTGACTACCTCATAGAAGTCAAGGGGGAAAACCCAAGCTTTATCATATCCCAAAATCCTTAAGAAATATTACCGAAGAAATTCGGTTAACTGCCTTAATAACTTTGACTTAGTTTTTCCACACGAACTTGAAAAAAACAAATGAAGAATGTAAGGGGTGCGTAATTGCACCTCTAACTATGATGAAGAACTACATGACTTGGTGACTCTTTACCACTCGGCGCAACCAACATTAATATTAAGAATCTTTGGGTGACCATAAGAAAACATGAACTACTTCAATGTGTGAGTAACTTTTCAGACGTCTTACGATATCCAGGTGTTACCTCCACAGTAGTCCATAAGATTGACTTAGTGACGGACAATCCTATCAAACGAAAATTATACCCAGTTCCAGTTCACCTTAGGGATGCATTTGACCGAGATGTAGACAAATTATTAAAACTAAAGATCATTGAACCTTCAGTATCTGCATATTGCTCACCAGTAGTCATGGTTAAGAAGGAGGATAATTCATATAGATTTGCTATTGACTTCAGAGGCCTTAATGCTATCACTCGGTGGGATGCTGAGCCTATGCCCTTAATAGATAGCGATCTACACAAATTTTATGACTCTTCCTTCTTTTCAGAGATTGATATTGCGCAGGCATATCATCAAGTAATGTTAGATCCTTCTTCTAAGCAGTACACCATTTTTCCTTCACACCAAAGACTGATGCAGTATAGAACTATGCCCTCCGGTTTGGTAACTGCCTGTGCTACCTACGTGAGACTGATGTGAAAGGTCTTGGGTAATATGCCAAATGTTTCAGTTTATTTTGATAACATTTACGTAATGACATCCATGTGGGGCGAGCATATCCAAACATTAACATCAGTTTTGCATAGGTTATGCTCACATGGCCTCACTGCCAAGCCGAAGAAATGCTTCCTTGGGTATAACAAGATTAGATATCTTGGACTGATACTTTCTAATAACTCTCTGCCAGCCTCTCCCAGTAAGATCAAAGCTTTATTAGAATTTTAAATTCCCCAAAGCCAAGAAGCTCATGCGTAGCTTTCTTGGTTCTGTAAATTTTTATGCAGGGTTTTTTCCCAAACCTTACTGATCTTACAGGCATTTTATCCGACTTCCTTAGAAAGTCTGTGAAGGAACATTTTGAACTTCCGACGTAGCTGGGGAAAAAGGGTTTAATGAGAATAAAAGTATTTTTTCGAAAGACCCTATACTTAAGATTCCAGATATTAATAAAAAAATTTTTTTAAGAACTGATGCCTCCAATACTGGCTTAGGTGTGGTGTTACTACAATACCATGATGGTACTCTTTCCCTTTTCCCCTGTATGCTTCCTAAGCCGGAAACTCCTTCCCCGCAGAAATGAGATATTCCACCATAGAAAAGGAATGTTGGCCCTTGTGTGGGTATCTCAAAACTTAAATTTTATTTGCGGGGAAAAGAATTCATTTATAGAAATGGACCACAAACCTTTGATATACCTAAAAACTTTTAAGGGAACCAACAGTCGCCTCTTGAGGTGGACATTGGCACTCCAGGCTTTTAAGTTCCATATTGTGTATATCAATGGGTCATCCAATTATTCTCTGACTGGTTAAGGGTCGTGACAGTCAGTAGAAGATTTGTTGTCTTACGCGACTTCCACATGTTAGAACTTTTTCCTCGCCTATTCTTCTTATACTCCTTGACTATAAGTCTTGGTATAAGGGGAGTGTTGGGGGAAAAGTTCAATAGATAGGAGTAGCGAGGAGTATATAGTAACAAAGTTTGATTGCCGCTGTTTGTTAAGGTAGGTAAGTCCAGCTCCCGCTTTTCCCCCCCCCTTTTTCCCCCTCCCGAAAGTGATAGTTTGATTGCCGGCTGCTTGTTAAGGTAGGGTCATCTAGCTCCCGCTATCCCTTCCCCTCCATTCTTCCCCCCCCCCCCCGAAAGGTGATGTGTGGGGCTCCGTTAAAAACAGTAAATCACTCGACTCACAGCTCCCAACACTACTGTAAGTACACGGCCTGATCATATTTTAGTGGACTTATTGGTTGAAAGCTTCACTTTTGACCAATAATAACTTAGTCCTTTCAGTCTTGATAGGTTAAAAAATTTTTAATAATCACTACATTTTTTAAAGGTATTGTACTTATCATGGAGAGTGATTTTTTAAGCAGTGGGTAACCTGTTCTCTTTACAGCTTGAAAGGACAGAGAGGGTCACCTGCTAATCAACGGTAGAAATTGAAGGAGACGGACTAACGTTCTGAGGCGTCCAAATTTCTGATCCACTTACCTGTTTGTGTATGCAAGTAGCAGGATATAGCCCTCATCATTGCAGTGGAAAAAACCCTGCTTTCCTGCATCTGGACGGATTTTTGATGGCTAGAAAATCTGTGAAGAACGAGCTGGTGGGTTTGTCATCAACACCTGCCACCCCCCCCCCATCATCAGCAACGGCTACGATTTCAACAACCCGCAAGTGTCAACCAACACCAGACACCCAAGTTTTTTATATATATTTAGCGTTGAATTCAGATATCATTTATATTTTTTCATTTTTCATTTTCTTTAAGGTAGGATTAATATAACATATTTAAGTGTTTTTATATTTTATTTTTTATAAATAAAGTGTTTATGTTTGTCAGTTTTTGTTCTTTTTCTATTCATTAATTTTCCTGAGGAGGAGCCACCCTTTGGGTAAAAACTGTCTGAATTGTTACAGGGCTGAGTAAGCCTTCACAATTATCATGAATCTTCCTTGCCTGCGTGCCAAGAAGTACAGGTCAAGGGACTTCAGCATTCCTAGTAATTTAGAGCTTTTTTTTAACTCACATGTTTAGTGAAAGTTCTCTGTTTATTCTCCGGGTTTTGCAATTTCGCCTCCCTTGAAAGGGGTCTAGAGTGATTTGAAGAGGATCATAATTGGTTTGGTATGCCTGGTTTTTGGAGGTTCTCATTATCCATCTCTCATTTTCTTAGCAGATGTAGTAGTGGCATTGTTGTGATCTTTGAAATCGACATTATCACTCCCGGGTTCATTCATATTAGTTTCTCACTTTATTGTGTAGTTGGAATTTGTTTTATACCCCAGCCAGTTTTTATTTCCCCGAGTTTCCCATAACACACACAACTGAAATTTGTTTCATTCAACTTGAAACTGTTCCCTGTGACCCATTTAAAGACTTGGTTAACGCAAGTTCTGGCATCATCAGGAAAGAGGACATGGTGCTGTATTTTTACATCTCTGTGTCATTTTAGGAGGATGGGGAAAAAGGATGGAGCGAGTACAATTACCTTGCGGAACAGTTTTTTCACGGTAGCCGCCTCTGACTTACTCTGTTTACTATTATCTCTGGTTCTGATTTTTAGGAAGTTATGATCTATCTACCCACTTTTCCTTTTATTCCTTTATCACGCATTATGTGTGTTTTGATCACACTTGCTGAAGACTTTCACAACTCTGTTATACTACATCTGTATTTAGTTGCCCCTCCAGTACATCCAGCCCTTTGACATAGTGGTCTAGTAGTTGTAGAGGCAGGAGTTACCACTCATTTTCCCCCCTGGGTTGTACTATCTTTGGGTATGTAATTATTGGCGAAGTTTCTCTTTGGGCAGGACGTCTAAATCAGAGGAGGAAATAAGGAAAGACGAATGCTGGCCCCTCACCCACTTAAGTAAACCCTTTATTATATAAAAAATCATAACTGGCCAGTTGGGTGTTATAATATGACAGGTACTGTAGACACTTCAAAGATTTCCAGTGACCACCAATGAAATTGGGCAAGTGGTGGTCTCATTACATTAACACGTGTAACCCCTTCCCTCTCTCTTCTAATCAGTCCAATTATCCATAGTCCACACAACTAATTAGTAGCGCCGTACTTGTGGGTGTTATATCCATTGTAAGTTACAGTACCGGCCCCAGGACAGATGTGCCTAGTGCTTGTGGCATCGGAGGGAGTCTATGCTTGTGGCATCGGGGGGATCAAGTGCTTGTGGCATGGGAGGGAGTCTAGTGCTTGTGGCATCGGAGGGAGTCTAGGCTTGTGGCATCGGGGGGAGTCTAGTGCTTGTGGCACGTAGGGACTATGCTTGTGGCATCGGAGGAGTCTAGTGCTTGTGGCATCGGAGGGAGTCTAGTGCTTGGGGCATCGAGGGAGTCTAGTGCTTGTGGCATCGGAGGGAGTCTAGTGCTTGTGGCATCGGAGGGAGTCTAGTGCTTGTGGCATCGTAGGATCTAGTGCTTGTGGCATCGGAGGGAGTCTAGTGCTTGTGGCATCGGAGGGAGTCTAGTGCTTGTGGCATCGGAGGGAGTCTATGCTTGTGGCATCGGAGGGAGTCTAGTGCTTGTGGCATCGGGGGGAGTCTAGTGCTTGGGGCATCGGAGGGAGTCTATGCTTGTGGCATCGGAGGGAGTCTAGTGCTTGTGGCATCGTAGGAGTCTAGTGCTTGTGGCATCGGGGGGAGTCTAGTGCTTGTGGCATGGGAGGGAGTCTATGCTTGTGGCATGGAGGGAGTAACCGGGGTGGCCAAAAACGCTTCCGCGGGTAACTACTGTAAATAATATATGGTTGCCACCTCCCAATTAGATTATTTGTATGAATCCAAAAACCCGAAGTTCATACAGGTAACCTTAAAAAATTCCTAAGGGTAATGATTATAATAAAGTAATTATTATTGCTAGTAGTAGTAGTATTGGTAACAGTATTAGTAAAGTACATAGTAGAAATAGTATAGCAGTTGTGTAGTAGTAATAAGGTGTAGGAATTACTTCTAAAACAAGTAAACATCTTACATAGTACTCACCTCAAAATCTAAGGCTGGTTTTGGCATGGTACAAAACCACCACTGGTCGTCTCGTTGACGGAAACATAGCCTCAACACCTCAACCTTGCTGGAATAGCAAAAGATATTGATAAATCTTCTATTTTAATTTTCGTGTTATACTACCAACAAAATATTCTAAGTTTAGAATATAATAAAGTATTTTATGGAAATAATAAGTTAATATAATTCATGAAGAAATTTTGCAATGTGAAAGGCTGACTGATGTTGAGGTAGTCAGGCTTAGGCTTTGTTAGAGAAGCCCCTATCGCGTGCCTACAGCATTCTAGGGAAGGGAGCATGGCCCACAGGGTCATCCCGCACACTAAAAACAACAGACATAGCCCCACTCCACAAAGGTGGCAGTAAAGCAATTGCAAAGAACTACAGACCGACAGCACTAACATCCCATATCTAACATTTTTTAGAGGGTTCTAAGAAGGAAGATCGCCAACCCCCCTGGATACCCTTCAATTACACAACCCAGGGCAACAGGGGTAGAGCAGGGCCTCCTGCCTGTCCCAGCTACTGGACCACTATGACAAGGTCCTGGATGCTGTATAGGATAAACAAAATACAGATGTAGATACATAAAACTTGCAAAAGCTTTCGACAAGTTTGACCATGTGTAATAGCACACAAAATGCGTTTATAAAGGAATAACGGGAAAAGTTGGTAGATGGATCTACAACGCCGATAAAAAGAACACAAAAAGTAATAGTAAACAAGTAAAATCCAGGCAGCCATGGTAAAAATTTCTGTTCCACAAGGCACAGTACTCCCCTCCCAGTCCCATTCCTCCCTCCTCATTTCTGACAGAGAGAGATGTAAGCCCGTGTCTTCCTTTGCGGATGAAAACCTAGATTACCATGACAGTGAACTCCGTCGAAGACACCGGGGAGACCCAAGAGGACATCAACCAAATCTTCGAATGGCCACTCATAACAATTTTGAAGTTCAACGAGGAGAAATTTCAACTACTCCGATATGGGAAACTTGAAGAAATTAAAAAAAGTGTCAGCTATAAAGAAAATTCTAACCATACAATAGAGCGGAAAGTAATGTGAAGGACCTGGGATGATATGTCAGAGGATCTTGCCTCATCACGGAAAATGTAGGATGGATAATGAGAACCTTCAAACTAGGGCACCAGCCCATGTGATTCTTCAAATCGCCTGTGGTCTCAGGCTGGGAATATGCGTCCTAACTGGGTCCCTCAAGGCGGGGCATTGCAGACTGGGAGTGTACAAGAACTTTACGGCAGACATAAGTACGAAAAGGCCTAAACTACTGAGAACGGTTGATGATCTTTCAAATCACTTGTTCTCTAGGCTGGAATACTGCGTACATACATCTCCATTCAAAGCAGGAATTGCAGGATCTAGAGACTGGGACAGAGATCCTTTACGCACGTATAAGTTCGTCCAAGCACCTTACTAATGGGAACGCTGGAAGCACTTGAACTTGTACTTCTTTGGAATGCAGGAGGGAGAGATATATCATAATCTACATTGGAAAATCCTGGAAGAATGGTCCCAAATCTAAAACACAGAAATCCCCTCCCTACGAAAGTAAAAGACGGGCAGGCGATGCAAAATGCCCCCAATTAAAAGTAGGGGCGCCATTGGTACAAACCCAAAAGAAAACACCATAAGTGTCCCGGGCCCAAGACTGTTCAACAGCCTCCCATCAAGCATTCGGGAATTACCAATAAACCCCTGGCTGCCTTCAAGAGAGAGCTGGACAATACTTAAAGTCGTGCCGGATCAGCCAGGCTGGGCTCGTACGTTGGACTGCTGTGGCCAGCAGTAACAGCCTGGTTTATCAGGCCCTGATCCACCGCGAGGCCTGGTCATGGCCGGGCCGCGGGGGGGTTGATCCCCGGAATAACCTCCAGGTAAGGTCCTTGAACTGTATTCCCTCGAACGCAGGTGGGAGAAATACATGAAAAATTAACACTTGGAAGGTCCTGGAGGGATTGGTACCAAACCTGCACACGAAAAAACACTCCATATGAAAGAAAAAGACTCGGCAGGAAATGCAACATTCCCCAGATGAAAAACAGGGCGCCACGAGTACACTGAGAGACAACACAGTAAGTGTCCCGGGGGCCCAAGACTCTTTTAACTTTCCTCCCAGCAATACATAAGGGGAATTACCTATAGACCCCTGGCTGTCTTCAAGAAGGGACTGGACAGGCACCTAAAGTCAGTACCTGACCAGCCGGGGTGTGGTTCGTACGTCAGCTTGTGTGCGGCCAGCAGTAACAGCCAGGTTGATCAGACCCTGATCCACCATGAGGCCTGGTCTGAGACCGGTCGCGGGGCGTTGACCCCAAACCCCCTCCAGTAAACTCCATAGTGTGGCAGTCCATGCATGCAACAACTTATGCTAAGTAGTTTCCACATATGGTCACTGGTGAGCATCTCGTTCACTTGCTGGGAATGTACACACAGGCAGGATATGTCCAAAGGACCTTATTAATGAAAATAAATCCTATATAATTAAAAATATCCTAAATTTTCCCTTTTAACTGTAAGTAAAATGTATAATAAATCCGATGATTCCCCCTTAACCCATTTGGGGCCTAGTTCCCCTGGACCATTGTGTATTTAACATATCTTGCATTAGTGAGATGTAATCCTCGGGCGTTTAGGATTTATTGAGATTTTACCAGAATTTTCACATTTGCCCCATCCTTTAATCTATAAAAAGTCCAGTGGGAAAATTTGTGGAACGAAATTTAAAATTAAAGTTTTTCAACGTTTGTTTCAATGGACCCAGAACTGGGAACCTTCAGATAAAACAATCTGCTCAGTGAGAAAAATGAATCCTGGTGTGTGTTACACGAACATTTTAAGGGATACTGTGTATCTCTATACAGTTATGGTACATTCGACTAACATTCCCCACATTCATCTCTGAAAAATAAATAATCCCTTTTGCAATAGTTTTGTGCATCAGATCATTCAACATTCAATTACATACATAAAAGAGGAGAACATTCTTTGGGAGATACTTTATGTAGGTCACTTGTAAAATAGAACCTTTATAATTAGGAATTTTACAAATATAACCTTTTCCCTTAAGGAACAAATACTTCCAATGTGGGTAAGCAGTGAAGAAAATATTTGGTTGCAAAAGTAATGAAGGAAACATTAGAAAGATAAAGGTTAAATGTATTTAACTTGAAATGTGTTAAATAAATCAAGAGTAATCTGAGAAATCCAGAGCACAAATGCAGTGCGTAATATCATGATCAAAATGAACAAGAAATAGGGGTTAGGCTTTTATATTTAATGTCAATTTGATAAAAGTGGAATAGAAGTCCATATTAACAGAAAATGTTTATGGTCGTGAGGCCGAGGAAGAATTATTCATGGTTGGAGAGGTGGTAAGAAATTTAATAATTGTGTAGGGGACAGTTAATGCAAAAATTGGGAGAAATTTTTTTTGGAACTTAGTAAGGTTGAGCGCCAGGTATAAAGAATTGTACGGGGCATTTAATTTAATTAATGAACTGTAAAGAAGATTTTGGTAAAGAATTCTATCGAGAAAAAAATAAGTTTTCAAGACTTGAAATGGCGTAGAGGACTGCACTTTAACTGTCTTGTGGTGAAAAAATGATGAGAAGAATTTTGGATAATCATCATCTCACAAGAGTAAACTGTTGCGTCAAACATCACCAGTGGAAGAACAGTAAAAGCACAAGGAACATAAAATTCATGGCATCGGTGAGTAAGAAGATTGAAACGAAGAATTTTATTGCAGAGACAGTGAGTGAATATAATGAAATGTTGTAGAAAAGGAATAATGAAGATTTGGGTTACATGAAGGAGGATGAGGAAGTAAAAGGTTATATATGTTTGCAGGTATTGAGGAGGGAAGATTTTGCAGTATTGGAGGAAGGTACAGAGTTTGCAGGTATTGAGGAGGGGACAATGTTTGCATATTGGAGAAGGTACGAAGTTTTTCAGGTATTGGGGGGAGGGTAAGATGTTTGCAGTATTGGAGGAGGGTACAGATAGTAAGAGAATACCTGGAGAACAGTAATAGAGTAATAAAGAAAACAAAGAAAAACCATAGAACGGTTGGTTTAATTTGTTCAGTTTAGCACAAAAAGGGAAGGTACAAAAAATTTAAAAGATACCGAAAACAGATTCATCCGAATTTTGAAAAAAACTGTGACGAGAGAGAGAAGGAGAGAGAAAGGGATAGAGAGAAGGAAAGAGAGAGAGAGAGAGAGAGAAGAGAGAGGAGAGAGAGAATTATATGGGAAAAACTTGTTGAGCATAAACGTTAAATTAATTACACGGTTTAATTAATTATGAAAAGTTTAGCATATGAAAGGTTGGAAAGTAACACTAGGGATCTGGGAAGGGATACCAATATTGAGACCAACAATATTTTTAATTCTATTTGTGTGGTGTATTGGGACTCACTTTAAGTCACTTAATTGTGGTTACAGGGTCGAGACCAGCTCCTGGCCCCGCCTCTTCACTGGTCGTTACTAGGTCCTCTTTTTCTCTCTCTCTCTTCTCTCTCTCCTCTCTCCCCCTCTCCTCCTCTCTCTCTGCTTCCTGAGCTCTGTCATACCTCGTCTTAAAGCTACGTACAAATTTCCTACATCCACACATCACTTGCTAGGCCCATTCCACTTCCTGACAACTCTATGACTGAAGAAATACTTCCTAAAATCCCTGTGACTCCCTGTGACTCGTCTGAGTCTTCAGCTTCCAAATGTGACCCCTTGTTCCAGTGTCTCATCTCTGGGAAAATCCTGTCTCTGTCCACCTTATCTATTCCCTGCAGTACTGAGTATGCTGTTATAATGTTTCCCCTGACCCTCCTGTCCTCCAAAGTCGTCAGTTTCCCATTTCCCTCAACCTTTCTTCGTAAGGACATTTCCCCGAGCTCCGAAACTAGCCTTGTTGCAAACCTTTGTACTTTCTCTAATTTCTTGACGTGCTTGACCAGATGTGGGTTCCAAACTGGTGCTGCATAAACCCCCGTATGGGCTTGACGTACACAGTGTACAGTGTCTTGAAACGATTCCTACTAAGTATGGGAA